CCTCGCTCCCCGGCGCGGGGCGTGTGTGTGTGTATGCGCGCGCGCTACATCTTGACGCCGCCACCTGCAGGTCCATCTCGGAAACCGGGTTCCGAAAGCCCAGCTCGAACGGGTCGGGGGGCATATCTGTGGCTGAGGCGAGGTTTTCCCGCTGCAGAGCAACTTCCGATGGGACGGCTAGGGAGGAACCTCCAATGCCTCCGGCTGTTTCGGGATCTGACGGTGTTCCTACGAACAGGGCACACCTCGCGTGGTCGCTAGCCGTGGCTTCCTCAGGTGGAACAAACATCACACGCCTCATTTTAACTGGCTGCACGTGGCCACCTGCTGGAGGTTGGTGGCCAGGCGCTGTTGCCTGCCTTCCTCCCTCTCTAGTTCACAGAACATCCGATGTCATTAGTGGCCATAAATTGAAATCCTATAGTTTCCTTATCCTAAAACACCTCTTTAGGGACTGGACTGGGTTCTTCACTCCCGCGCCTGCAACTGAACATAGGAAGCATAGAGAGTTCCATTTGGTAAGGTATGGGCCTGAGCAGGCCCCTCCTGGAAGTCAAAGCTACCAGTAGCCCATTGACATGGAGCACAAAAAGAGTGTAGAGGGGCCCGATTCCACCACGTTCGGCTTGCAGGAAAGGGATGTGGACACTTTAAAAAGCAACAACAGAAGCTTCAGAGTGAAATACCATTTCCCTTCTCCACATAGACCCAGAGTGAGAGATCGACTTTAATGGAAGTGTGCACTCATAGGCTGAAATCTAGTGGTAATTTGTCTCTAGAGTAGGCTCATTGAATCTGTGCGGATTTAATGAGAACTTCTCCCAAGATTGGATTGATTGAATGGGCCTACTTTAGTTGTGACTTACTAATGGCTTTCAGCCATTGAATTCATGGGATGGAAATTTGTCTCTAGAGTAGGCTCATTGAATCTGTGCGGATTTAATGAGAACTTCTCCCAAGATTGGATTGATTGAATGGGCCTACTTTAGTTGTGACTTACTAATGGCTTTCAACCGTTGAATTCATGGGATGGAAGAGCTAGCATTGCCTTATATCTCTGCAGATGCAGTGATAACCAAAGACTAGCCTTATAGTTGAATTAAAGCATTTACTCCTTAATAGCCATAATCTGGGGTTCTGTTGTCATGTAATGATGGCTCTTTGCACAGTGAGTTATGACAACCTGTCTTTTAGTCATTTGCCATTGGACACTTAGTACATACAATAGATGCTTTGGTTACAGTCTCACCAAGCACTTAAGTCTCACTTTGCTTGCATGGGAAATTAAAACAATGGTCTTCTAATTACTGAACTCTTTGGAATCTCCTTTCTTGGGGACTGGAATTTTCAGTCTGTAAGCCATTGTTTTATTTTCCGTATACTTCACACAAAACATGATGTATGAACTACCTTTTTCCACAGTTCTCAGAAGGAAAGAAAGGAGTAATTCATGCAATCTCTTGCAATTCTTTAGTATTGTTCTCAACCATGATCTGAAACAAACTAAAAGCAGTCTGCACATGCTTGAGAGCACAACTGTGCCAGATTTTTCCATAGATCATAACTGACAACGAATCTGGCTATACCTGAAGTCCAGTTATGTCATAGAACTGTGCCCTATCCCAAAACTTAACCCAGAGTGCGGAACATGCAGGCTTCCATGTGTTGTTGGAGTCTAACTCCCATCAGACCCAGGCAGTATGGTCAGTGGTCAAGAACAATAAGACTTGTAGTTCAACAGCAAGAAAATAACCTCTTCCCTGAGCCAGTCTTCACCTATTTCACTTCCTCCTTGTATTACATCTTCCACAGAAAAACACCACACAGGTGTTGCAACGAAGGCTTTTACTTTATGGGAAGTGAGAAATGTTGGATGTTCAAGTGGAGTCTGAAAAGAAAGAGGCACATGAGATCATTTTGGAAATATCTTTTTACTGGCTATTGGAGAGCACCAAAAAATTCCAGAAGAAGAGCAGTCTATACTTTATAGACTACAGCAAAGCCTTTGTGCCGGTCATGAGAAACAAAGTGCCCAATGATACCCTGATTTAATGTGGGCTGGATAGATCAAGTGTCAGGTGGATACACAATTGACTACAGAATCGTACTCAGAGGGTGATAATTAATAGTTCCTTCTCCAACTAGGAGGTAACAAGTGGGGTACCCCAGGGTGCAGTCCTGGGTCTGGTGCTCTTCAACATTTTTATTAATGACTTGGATGAGGGAGTGCGGGGAATGCTTTTCAAAAGTGGGTGGAATAGCTAACAACCTGGAAGACAGGAACAAAAATTGTCCATGTATAAGACTCCCATGTATAAGATGCCACCCCACTGTTCTAACTCTAAATTAAGAAATCAATATTTTAAACAGAAAACTGAACACAGTTTTATTTAGTAATTAGGTAACATTTACATGCCAGTACTGCATCACACTTTAACTTTATTCAGCCTCTTGGCTCAGAACGCTTGGACATGAGGAAAGACTGAAAGAACTGAGCATGTTTAGCTTTGAGAAAAGAAAACGGAGGGGGGATATATAACGCTTTCCAAATACTTGAAACGCTATCATACAGAGGAGGGGCAGGATCTATTCTTGATCATCCCAGAGTGCAGGATACTCAACAATGGGCTCATGTTACAGGAAGCCAGATTTTGGCTGAATATCAAAATTATGAGGAAAAACTTCCTAACTGTTAGAGCAGGAAGACAGTGCAACCAATTACCTCGAGAGGTAGTGAGTGCTCCAACACTGGAGGCATTCCAGCAAAACTTGGACAACCACCTGGCAGATATCTTTTGATTTGTACTCCTTCATCAAGCAGGGGGTTGGACTTGAAGGCCTTACAAGCCCCTTCCAAGTTCACTATTTTATGATTCTATGGGTTGTTCTGAAACAAATGGGTGTGCCTCAGGACTTGATAGTCCTGATGCGTAACTTGTACTGTGGACAGGAAGCTACTGTTAGAACAGAATATGGAGAAGGATAAAGGTTTCCTATAGCCAAAGGTGTTAGACAAGGGTGCATTTTATCCCCTTATTTGTTCAAACTGCACTCAGAACATGTCATATGGAAAGCCAGACTAGATTCAAATAAAGGAAGAATGAACATTGGTGGAAGAAACATTAATAATTTAAGATATGCAGATGACACCATTTTACTGGCAGAAAGCAGCAATGACCTGAAATGACTGTTAGGGAAAGGAAAAGAAAAAAGTGCCAAAGCAGGACTGCAGTTAAACATTAAGACAACAAAAATCATGACTACAGAAGAACTACACGACGTTAGCATTGACAATGAAGAAATTGAAATAGTTAGAGATTTTGTATAGCTTGGTTCAATAATCAATCCAAATAGAGACTGCAGCCACAAAGTTAGAAGACTGAGACTATGAAAGGCAGCAATGAAGGAATTAGGGGAAAAATCATTAAGTACTAGAATGTGTCATCAAAATACCAAGATGAAGATCATCCATATTCTTATATTCCCAATCACTATGTAAGGGTGTGAACGCTGGGCATTTAGGAAAGCTGAAAGGGAAAAAAAATTGCACTGCACTGCCGGAAAGACAAAAAAGGGGTTCCTATATCAAATCAAGCCTGAACCATCTCTGGTTGAAACTGAGGTGGTCCTGCTTTGGACACATAATGAAAGGACAGGATCCTCTCATTAAGGCAATGATGAGGCGACCATTTCCCTGTGCCTAGTGGCAGAGCAGGCTTTTCGGTAGCCAGCTGTGATCAGCTATCAAACATCTGGTTGGAGGGAATTACTGAAGAGATCAGACCATGTGGTTTCCTTTCAGGGCTCCAGCATCTCTCTAGACATTCAGCTCTGCTTGACTCCCTTGAAATGGTAATAAGAAATCTGCTGCCTTTCAAAGTGTACTGCAAAGTGAACCAAATATGCTGAGGAAGTGGGAAACATCAGAACCCCAGTCATGAGTACACTGGAAATATAGGCAGAAAAAAAAATAGTATAGATTTTTCTGCTTTTCTAGATTGTGGATAGCTTTAATTTTTAAAAAATAAAGAAGAACACACACACACACACACACACACACAGAGAGAGAGAGAGAGAGAGAGAGAGAGAGAGAGAGAGAGAGACTGTCAAATCTGTGGCAGAGTTGGAGTGGCTGATGCTTTGCTTACGCAGAAAACTCCCTCTGGAGGAGGCTGAGTTTATAAATATTTCACCTGCTGCATTTGAGACGCTAACTGGCAATTTTTAGAATGCTCTTGCTGGCTTC